CCTTTGTCTTTGAGAAATAGATCCAGTGTGAGACTGTAGCTTTATATTGTTTGGCCAAGGTTTTAATCAATATATTGGAAGCAATTCAGACTACCCCTCCCCTGGTGGATTGCAGTGTGGGATGCTGGGGTTCAGAGGGTCAGCTGAATACAGTTTGCGTAGGTGGTTCTTACTCCTGGGGCTTATACTTCTAGTCTAGACACTGCAGCTCCAAATGGTACAAACTGAACATGAGATCCTTGTTGTAGCAAGGCTGGTATGCGGGATTATGTGGGTAGGAATTCACCGTGGAAGGCTCCTGTGGGGGAGAGAATAGCTGGAATGAAAGCGTTAGCATCTACCCTGGCCAGTTAGCTCAGTTGGTTAGAGCATCATCCCGATACACTGAGGTTGTAGGTTCGATCCCAGTCCGGGCATGTACCAGTAAGTGCATAAACAAGTGGAACAACAAATCAAGGTTCCTTTTCCTTTCTTCTTTTTTCCTCTTAAACAAGTCAGAAAAGCATCAATGCCTTCTAGAAATAACAATAAAATGAAAACAAAAAAGAGAATTAAGCTGCGACCCACAATCCAGGCATATAACCTGACTGGGAATCGAACCAGTAGCCCTTTGCTTCGCAGGCCGGCACGCAATCCACTGAGCCACCCCAGCCAGGGCTGGTTCTTAGAGTCTCTTGAGTAGACTTGGCTGCCTCCCAGTTGGCTTTCTGACATAATTGCCTCCATTTTCTGACCTCTCGTTCACCACGAGGAGCCCAGAAACAGGTGCTCTCCCTTCAACACACTGGGATCTCCTTAGACCTCCCCGGGGGGGAAAGCCCGACTCCTCAGCATTGACCATGGAGATCGCCAGGCCTCGGCTGCGCAGCCTTTTTCGCGGTGTCATGGCCAGCGCAGTCTGTTTTCAAGCTTTGGCTGCAGGCGGCTCAACCAAAGGGGCAGCTGATCCCCCCAGAGCCCAGGGAGCCATGGAGGTGGCTGCTCTGCAGGCCCTGCGGCGTTGCGCGTGGAGCCGCCTTCTGGGGGATTCGGGCCTCGCACAGCTGGCCTCCGCCGGCAGGCCTACCGACCTGAGCCTTCGGGCTCCTTCTTCTGCAGGGGCAGGCCTGGCGTGTCTTCTGGATTTAGCGTCAGCCGTTGTTTTCTCCAAGCTGAGCCGTACCTGGGCCCCAGGGCCTGGCCGGGGTGTCGGATGCGTATCAGTGAGCTCCCCTTCCTCTCATTTACATTCTGTCTCCCCTTGCCCCAGTGCCCCTAGAATCCAGTCCCTGCAGGCACGTGTTAGCTGGGGCTCCTTCAGGACTATTCTCAGTGAGCCCAGCACTTGCACAGGGGGTTCTGTGGTGACTGAGCCCTAGCCACGTGGTCTAATGGCTGGGACAGGAGGTAGGGGAGCAGTGTCATTTTGCAAGGGAGAGGCTTTGTATTGCCCTCAAGCTGAGGAGTGAGCCCCTTCAGCGTGCCAGCGAGAGTTCCCAGAATCTGGGGACTCAAGACTGTTCAAGTGCATCAACCCAGATAGCCTCCGTCCATCTCAATCAGGGCTCTAACGTTGGGGTAGAAGACATCTGGAGGCTCACAGTTCAGCCTCTTCTGGAGCTTTCTTCGCAAAGCAGGTCCTGGGCCTGATCCACAGCTTACGTGCAGCTGTAGAAGTGAGGTGCTGCCCAGGACTCTCAGGCTCCCAGTCAGCCTTTCATTGGTGATTCATCACCCTCAGCTTCTTACTGTCTTTTTTCCAGTGTGCCCAGCAACAGTCATCCAAATCCATTGTCCTCATAATTTCTAGCTCCCCTTCCTTCTCAAACACCTGCCACGCTGCACTGTCCGTGCCTCCCCCTGCATCAACGTGCCATCCTAAATTCACCGCCCGGTATTGAACTCCAATGAAAGTTAACAAGGCACGGATGCCGCTCGGCAGAAGCTACCCACGATCACCTGCCACCAGTGACAGGATCCTCACTGCCAGTGACTCAGGGGTGACCTAGATCCCCCATCCCACTTTAGGGCCTGTTTCCTCGGACCACTCTTAGTACCTGCTGTAGGCTGGGTTCTGGGGGATGCGGGCTATGAGCCAGAGATCCGCATATGGGCCGTTGAAGTGTTCTCAGGATCCACACTGCAGGGGAGTGAAGGGGGAGGGCTGGGCACGCTGTGGTGGGCTTCACTGAGGGCTTTGGCCAACCCCAAGGGGATTCTAGAGATGGGGGCACTTCAAAAGGCTTTTATACCTCCCTCCTGACCATCAGTGAAGGCGGCCACCCCCAGGAGAGGGAGAAGGACCTTGGGTCACACAAGCTCTTTGGCTGTGGAGTGACCTCCAGGGAAGGACTTAGCAGGGCTATGAAATGCCGAGCCTCCCAGAATCTGGGGGGAGGAAAATGCTTCAGTCCCAGGGCGGGGGTCAAGGGGCAGGAGTCTGGGCAAGTTTTAGACAACACACTTCACATTTGGGTAAATCCAAGTGCCAAGTCATTTTGACTCTAGTCAGGACAAGAAGCTATTTCCGACAGAAATTACACAGACAGTTTCCTTGGCTTTGGTGATTCCATAAAACCTACTAACTCTTTACCAGAGCCTTGTTCAACCTTAACAGATGTGTTTTTGGGACATGTCAAACATGTCCCTGATGCTAATTTGTGCCCTAAGTTTAAATGGGGTGAACTATTTTCTTTTTGAGCAACCAGTCACAACTCGAGAGTCATAGTCAACCAGCCCCACCCACTGGCATAGGTTCTGGAGTCCCCTCAGTGTCTACAAACTTGGGTGAGAAAGATTGCAACACATAGCAACATAGTGACAAGCGTGATGGACTCAGGTAGAACCAGAGACTTCCCTTTGGGTAAGATGTCCAGACCTACTATGGGCGTCCACAAAGCAGCACAGCAATGCAAAAATCCAACCCTGTTTTCCAGAGAACATGGGTCCTGTACAGTCTCCTTTACCCACACTTAATGAGGACATCTGAATGCCTACTAAAGCTGTTAGTTCACATTTACTGTTTACTACGCACCACACTTGCCAGCCTTTTACAGGCCTAATCTCAGGTGCGTGCTCGATCTCTGGCCTTTGTGGGAAATTGCAGAATACTGAGGAATCTTGGCTGGCTGTGTTCCCCATTTGCAAAAGCTAAAACTAAAATCCTCCAGCCAGATCGATCTTCCCAGAATACAGTAGAGTGGAAATTTTTTAATGAGAAAGAGGGTATATAAACAAAGACTGTATTTTCACTGTCATTTTAATGACTGTATAATTAACACATGCTCACAGCAAGACCATGAGAAAACAGAGGTTACGTCAGATACTTAACCTGCTCAGGATTCCTCTGTCCTGCGCTTGGCTGGACGCTGTGGGCAGCAGTCCACTGTTTTCTTATTGGTAGAAAAGAACCTGTACCTTTCTGGTGGAGGTAACTGTCCACAGAATGAATGGATCTAACCTTGCTGGTATAAGTGCAGCGAAGCGCTCACCTATTTCCTAGAGATGCATAAGCCTCTTGCATAGAAAAGCACTAATTAGGGCACTTTCACAAGTAATTTGCTTAAAGGAACTAGGGGAAACTAGAAACAATTCAAGTCCCAAAAATATGTGAACCACTTTCTCATGCAAATGGTTGACTCAAACGTGAAGGCGGAACTAAGATTTGCCAACATGAATCAAAAAACAAGATTCTGAGATGTTAGCACAAAATGGTGTAACCAAGACAAAAACACGTGCAGAAACCAGAGGTCTAGCTGCCTTTTTAGGCATTAGCTCTTCATAGGCTGCTCCATACAATTTTAGTTTTCCTTAAAGAGGGATGATAACCCGAAAGCTCTGCCCCTTTAAGCGACAATTACAAGCGCAGACACTTCTTTAGTTTGTAAACAGCAAAAAGAGCCGAACATGTAATTTTTGAAATTCTCTGGCTTTTCTTTTTGACCTTTGGTATTTGTATGTATTGACCATCTCTAAACCATTGTACAAAAACACCTTGAAGTGTCAAGCTTTAAAAATGAGTCTTCTTTTCTCTTTCTCCTGTGCAGCTTGGATTATCTTGGCCTTGTCAAAACAATTCTCTAGTTAGAGGTTGGAAATATTTCCCTCCTGGCTCCAAAGTATTGATTTTCTTCAACACTCAGCTCTGTCAGTCAGCCAGAGGTGAAAGGTGAAAGTTCACCCAGCACTGCTTGGCTTTACCTTCCTATTAATGTCACGCCCTTTCCACGTTTGATCGGTTTATGTGATCACCCATCATACAGAACTGGGTCTGCCCCTGTTCCCCTCCACGGCTACATCGAAGTCACCAGGAGATGTCAACACAATTCCTGGGACGGACACTGGGCATGAGGACAGGGTCAAAGACGCTGTAGTCAACTCCTTTCACGTTTGCCTGTTTCTTACAGGCAACGACGCCGCTACTCGACGACTGACTCGCTGCAAGATGTTCTACAGTCTTCTCTGAAAATTGAAGAAGTGCGTTCACTACTTACATGTACAATCCTTCTGTGAGTCATGACTTCTTTTGTTACTCTTGCTATTTTTTGAAAACCAATTCCCCCATTTACCTCAGGGATTCCAATTCAACTCCAAAAGAGTATTAAATGGAATCCATGATCTCAGCCCAGTCCCCCACCCCAGGGGCCCAACCTATATCATCACATCTGATAAAATAGAAATTGGTACAATTAACAGTCTATTTAGGAGCAATTTAGGGTAGAGAGTAAAGCAACAGGCATGCAATTCCCGTGCCCGAACCCCAGAGGGTGCTGCTGAGTTTCTGGTAGGGGTGTTTCTGGTTCTCACTGGCCAGTGCAGGAGAGGGGCTTCCTTCCTTACTGTTCTACTGACCTTTGTGAACAAGTTGGCCTTTCCTGACGCAGCTCTCCAGGGAAATGAATAATTAGATGGGAACAGAAGGCTTAATTTGGTAGCAAAGGGAGAGGGGGTGGGGGGAAAGCATATGGATTTCAGTGGGCAATGTTTAAGAGTGAATAATGGTTTTAATGGGAAAAGCAATCTCCAGTAAAATTCAGTTTTATTTAACACACGTATATACAGAGGAACACTCAGCACACACAGAGCCTATTCATTAAGTGGAGTCATCAAGAAATGTCTTGAGAGGCAGATACTTTAATTCACTCTTTGTACACAGCGAGTTCAATCGTTACCTTTTCATACAGGTGTCACGTCACGTGATCTTTTGCTTGTAAACTGTCACTGAAGCCACATATGCCTCCACATTTACGAGGACAGGTCCAAACACAGCGCCAATGACATTAACAAACCACTGAACGCACGCACTGGAATGACAACACAAAGCCGGGCTCCGGGCTCACAAATCTACGCCGGGCGGGTGTCAGCACAGCCAAGGGCAGGTTTGGGCAAACACAAATGCAGGTATTAGCTCAGCAGTTAGAGACGCCCGTCGAACCCTCGAACATCGTCCACCCCAGAGCATTGCAATCGGAATATTCTACTGGCCAGTAACTGCCTACTCTGCAGACAACGGATGAGAGGCTGGTCCAGCCCCCTGCGTGGGTGTGCCGCTCCCTCGGGCCTCACGGTGTCGTTCTGATCTCCATGCTGTGTGTCACCCATCCGTGCGTGTGTGGTGGCCTGCCCTGCAGCCTCACACCTTTCTCCCGATGATGCACTGAGCACTTTGTTTTAAAAATTCTCTAAGGTGTACTCCCACTTCATCATCCCAACACACCTGTGTAGTCCAGAATAAATTAACCCCCGTTCAAGTTCACGAAGCAAACACGTGCTGGGTCTCGTGAGGACTTGGGAGGCCTCAGGTTTCTCTACCCACAGCCAAACAGCAGTGTGTTCAGCACGCAAGTAAAGCCTACACTGTATAGTTCTTGGTTTCTTCCTGGAAACGACATATATAATCTGTATAGATACAATGTACATGCACGGTTCATAAGTTCGCTTGTGAAAGAACACCCAAAGTCTGCACCCAGGGAGAGGCACAGGTTTTCTGTCTGCGGAAACCACATACCGTAGATGTCAGGAGGAAAGAGGTGTTCTGGTGTAGTGGTCTTTAAAAACCTGCTGCAATAAAATTACAGGTGTATTTGTTCCTGGACTGTGATCTTACTCTTTTATTTATTCCGTAAACCCTGACATCTACGCTTTTCAAATTAAGTGCTCCCATTATCATTTTGGGTCCTCTGTAAACGTCACACATTTTCTCTGAATTTCGTAACTCACTTTATATTTCTGCATTCATAAACCATGTTATCTGCTGGCCAACCAACCAAATCCCCAGCTATATGCAGATCGAGGTTTGTTAGGAGCAGTTCATACAAACTATTATTTTATGGATCCCACCCCCATTACTATGAGCAGGAGCCAGCAGTCTGGGCACCAGGAAAAGCCACCTCATTAGAGCCGACTCCAACATGTGATGAATACTCAGGGCGGCTTTGCTCAGGCCGATGGAGCCGCACACTGCCGCACATGCTCCCGGACGCTGCACCCCTGTCGCTGATGTGCCAGGACGCCCGTTTGAAAGAAATGCTGCCTTCGTTTCCCTTTGATTGGTCAGTAGTGGTTTGAAGGCTGAATTGTTACATGGTAGTGGACGTAAGTCCTAGCAGGGGACTGCAGGTCTGCACAGTTTCTGGGGGGGGGGGGGAGCTCTTTCTTAAAAAGGTCTGTAGTGACAGACACAGCTGCCTGCTTGTCAGGCATGTGTTATGCTTCCAGACTTGGTTCTTTATTACAAAGGTCTGTTCAAGACATTAGTTATAGCGACTGGATAATGATATTAACTAGATCATCAGCAGAGATGATTTTATTTTTAAACTACTAAATACACCAACATTAAGCAGGATATGAGCATTTTAGAATGCTAGGTGTCTGGGAAACTGTGTTTTCCACAAGGAAAAATGTGTTTTTTTAAATATATTCTCATTAATCTCAGATCAGTTAGGTATTATTGATAAAGAAGGTAGTGGCTACACCCTAGGAAATCGATTGAGCAATTTCCTAACAATCAGCTGAAGGAAAAAACCCATGTAAACACAGAATCTTCTTGGTAAACAATAGTATGTTTTAGGAAATGCAAAGGAAAATAATTCTGACAATCAGGACTGCCATGTGACCTCAAACCCAGTCAGAATGGGCAGGCTGGGGCAGCACTTCAGAAAGGGGGTTCGGTGGGAGGAAAACGCCCATCTGGGCTGGGCTGTGATCATGGTGTTTATTGATTTTCAGGCTCGGCTGCACAAGCCACGGGAGTGCTCCCAGGGACCGCTGGCTACCCCTCCCTCTGGGGCAGGACAGTGACCTAGTGACAGAAGGGCCACAGCCTGCAGAGTGCTCTGTGCGTGCCTCTGAACCCGGAGGTGGCAGGAGCAGGCGTCTGTTCTGGACCATGCAGAAGTGACACAGAGCTGGCCGTGCCCCTGGAAAGCCCCGGGTGGGCAGCCAGGCACGGACAAGTGACCCAGCCCCAGCACAAGGACAGAGGGATCTTGGTGTGGGGAACAGAAAGCGCCGAGACGCAGGCCGGCGACGCCAGCCTCAGACCATGAAGCGGTGCTCCTTCCCGTCGTGGGCCATCAGGATGACGTTGCGGTTGGAAGTCCAGATGAGACGCGCCAGTCTGAGGGCGTTGTGGGGGCCGGGGGAGGCCGGCTGCACGGGGGGCACCTGGTAGGTTTTCAGACAGCGCAGCTGAGGGGCCGAGTTCAGCATGCCGATGCTTCCCAGCAGAGAGGTGTTCATCTGGGGGCGCACAGGGACAGGAGAGCACACATGTCACACAAAGACCCACTTCCCTTTCCCTCCCGCATAGGGGTTCAAGGGGCACACGTGGCGGTCACTTTCCCCTCCGGTGCTGGCTCACGTCCACCTACGAGCGTATGCTTACCCTCTGAAGGGTCCTTTTCAAAACTGTTCTCACACTGTATGGTAGAAGACATAAACACACAGAAACTTTACTTTGTGGGCAGAACTTGACAGCAGCAAAGTCCAGTCTTTAAGAAGGAAGCCACATTGCACATGTTGATAAAACAGTCCAATCAGACAGTGTTTGGGAATTATGGGGATTTTCACCTGCAGACCTTTCTGTTTTTAACCGTGCTGAAAGGGTGTGTCCACAAAGCAAGTGCTGGGACTTGCAATTAGCTCAGGAGTTGAAGCCCGGCTGAGCAGCAGGTAGAGTGAGAGGCTGCTGGGTCAAAGGTCAAAAGTCAAAATTAGCCCCATGCCTGATTTCCTTCTGCTAATACCTGCCCCCCTCACCTGCTTTTAAACAATTCAGGCTCTGGAAAGTTCTAGTTTATTTTACAGGGAAACAAGAACCAGCTACATCTCAATACTGTTTTGCTGCCGTGCTAAAGAGAACACACAGGGTCCGGCAGAAGTGACCTGCTTGAGCGTGGCTGGTAGGGTTGGCGGATGCCTCACGCATGAGACGGACCGCAATCTGAACACTTCACCTGAAGTGTCATAGGGTGAGCTTGAGTGTGGTGTTGTTATGTTACAGAATTACATGCTTATGCGTTTGTAATAAAAGATTTTGTAATAAAAAATGGGGGCGTTATTTGTGCCAGACCCTGTACGTCATGACTTACTGGCAATTTGTTAGTTGGTGTTTTCTGTTTTGTGGTAGCTTTTCCAGGTTTGATTTGAACTCCAGCTTCTTTCCCCCATTCACATAAGTGAGAAATAGCGTGAAAGTTATGGCTCCTGAACAACTGCGTATTCAGGTCCATTATCTCAGTAAACAATCGTCTAAGTGACTGAGTTTGCTGAGCCCTTTAGACACCAAATGTCACTGAGCGTGTCCCCAGTGTACATCTTTTGTGGTACTGCAAGTCACATGGAGACCGCACTGAAAATCAGAAACGAGGTCTGGCAGGTGGGATTTTTCTCGGCACTCGTTTTCCTTCCTAATTCTTCCCTGCATTAAACCCTCCGTCCAGACGAGGGAGGTTCTGGGGACCCGTGTGAAGCATGCAGAGCGTGACCCGACGCACACGGATGGCCGACCCGGGAACCTCGGCAAATCCTCGGGCATGGCCGACGTGCTCCTGCTGCTGCCGTGCTCTGCCTCTGGGTCGGCGCAAAGTGCGAGGCGTCCCTTTGCTGGCCTTTCTCGGCAGCGGGACGGTGTCAGCGTGCGTAAATCACAGCGTCTCCAGCAGGATGCGTGCAGGCTCCACTGACATTTTCACAATTTAAATCATCGTGAGTAATAACCCTTTTAAGATGACTAATGTTACTGATTTTACTACATTAATAATAGTGCCGAACACAACACAGAGGTGAGAAAAAAATCACTAGTGTACGAGGTCACATTTTAAAACCAAATGTATGGTCATCATTAACTCTTTCTGTTGAAGCTCAGGCCCATTTAGAATCAGGCAGCACCTCACTGTCACCCTCCTTTCTTCCTTTTGCCCCCAAACTCCACAGAGATAAAAATTAATGCCTTACTGCTTTCTGGAGGTTTCCAAAGAGTTTCGATATAAATAATGACAGTGAGCTTGATTTTATAGTTCTCACTGGCACAAAAAGTAACAGTACACAATAATTTAGTCCTCTTACAGAACATATACAAATGATCCAGAAAATTGCTGGTTAAAATTAACTGGCACCAACAGGCATATTGTGCTTTAAAAAAATCCAATTTCTCAGTTGATAAACAACCACAAAGTATTTTTCATTCTGTATAGATTTTCTATGAAAATATGTATGAAGCCTGATTTCTGCTGGTGGCTTAAAGTGCTCAGGGTATACAATATGCTCAGATACTTATTTTTAATTCTTCTCCTAAAATTTAGGCATGTCCAAGAGATGGGCTGAGGGCTAAAGGGGGGAAAGGGGAGAATATCTTACTGGGACTTTAGGATGGAAAGGTATTTTAAAGGTGCATTATTATATCTGGGTTCCCCTTCAAGCTGAGCCATCCCTCAGATGACCGATAAATCGATTGGTAAATGCCTTAGGTAGGGCCCAACAGCCTTCCTGCCTGCAGCCAGGGAGGACTGGGCCCCATTCTACAAGGTATATAAGGCCACATATGGCAGGAATGATGACGACCCTCCTGCAAACCACAATTCCTTGCTCCTTGGACCAGCTTATTCCTCTGACCTTTTCAAATCGGAGATGAGTCTGAAGCACTAAGGGTGAGTATGAATCTTTCCAAGAAACTTGATCAAAGATTCCGCACCAAAAAAATTCATCATTTTGTCACTCAATATTAATGCTCTTTTGGGCCAGTGACTAACGTCTGCTAAAGTGAGGGCAACTGGAGCCTCGAGTGAATGAACACTAGCTGGAGCTGTAGTATTTGGGAATATTAATTTTTTCTCGATTACAAAGATACTCACTGTGGAAAATTCAAATAACAAAGATAAGCAGAAAGAAGAAAGCAACGCTCCCCTGACATCTCGCTTCTCAGAGACGATCACTAAGGACTTGCCAAACACCTCCCAGACCTCACACACACCCAAGGAGAAGCCAGTGTAAAGAATTTGATATAAACATCCATGAGATCTCCATTTCTGTGATTCTATTCCTGTTCTAGTTGTTTGCTTAGTTTGTTTTTGTTTTAGGTTCAATTGCTGATAGTGTGAGTGCGTTATTTTACTGTTCATAATCTTGAGAGGTGGAGGAAGAATGGGGGAAAAGGCACAGGGAGTAAGAAGCACAAATGGTAGGAACAAAACAGACAGGGGAGGTGAATAGTTTAGGAAACAGAGAAGACAAAGAACTTATGTGTATGACCCACGGACATGAACTAAGAGGGGTGCAGGATGGAGGGAAATAAAGGGTAGAAAAAGTGGGACAACCGTAATATCATTATCTAAAATATACTTAAAAATAAAAATAAAATAAAATTATATAAAAAAGAGTTTTACATAAACAGGTTCATATTAAAAGGTTGTTTCACAATCTGCTTATTTCCTTCAACAAGATGTTGAGGGCAATCATTTCATGTTAATGACCATAGATTTACATCATCCTTTTTAAGTGGCTGAATACTATTCTATCATGTGACGGACCAAGTAAAAACAAATGAAACCAGTGTCCATCAAATGTACTATTAGCAGTTATGCAAGAGAACACCTATTTGTCAGAGGGCAATGGTGAGAGAGAATTACGGTGAGAGGATTTTAGGTGAGAGAATTATGGTTCTGTTTCATTACTAAACTCCCCTCGATCAAATGTCAATGGATACACTGAAGTGAAATATTCAAACTGTGGACACACGTTTGGAGGCTGAAAGGAATTGAAAGATGAACAAATTGCATTGTTCAATAGCTGGGTATATAAACTAACTAAAATGTAACTTCGGCTTTTCCTGGCCTGGGGGGACTGGCTGAAAGGAGGGAAAGGGACTTTGTGCATCTTTTGACGCACAAAGAACATGTGTGTATCACCAGGAATGTGGACAACGGTGTGGGGACTGACTGGGGCGGGGGGTGCAGGCGGGGGTGAGGGGGGCAAAGGGGGAAAACTGGGACAATTGTAACAGCATAAACAATAAAAGGGTGTTTAACTTTCAAAAATAAAAACAAAAATGCTTCACAAAACCAGTTCCGTGAAGCTTATTTTCCGAGCACATACAAACACAAACAGACGTAATTCATCAAAACAGGAAATGTTTAATGCTCTTCTCAGTGTAAGTAATGCAGCACGCAAACCTTTTACTAAGTCTCACTTGAATAATTATCCAACCGATATTTCTCATTAACACTCATTTCTCAGCAAAGATTTTAATAGCTGATGGCTTTTGTAAGGTTCTATATTAATAAGACTTCGTCGAGTTTTCAAAATATATTACAGTACATTTACTGGAATAATATAGAAGTGTTATATCATACATCATTAGAAGTAAACAATATGTATCTAAATAAATCAGCAGGTCCCTTCGGGGAGAACAGTGGTAAATCCAACACCGCTTTCTGGACTCTCTTCAGTTCAAATAAAAACTCACTACACTTCTGGAAGAGACAAGGCTGAAATAATGTTTCTGCGCCTTCCACTTAGAGTTCAAGGCCAATCTGGGTATTCTTTAAGCAGGTGGGAAAGAGGCTGCATTTTGAATTCTGATGCTGGGTTTCGGGCAACGAGGACTTGGGAGTGGCCCGAGTTGCTTTGGCACCTGCGCGGGTAACGACACAAGGCCATTGCGTCTGCACACAAGCGTGGGGACTAGGAACACTGTGCACAAAGCCATGGGAACTGGCAGGCAGGCTTCGGTGCATTTAGCAAAGCCTAGAAGACCACAGCCAGAGCCCGAGAGACTGGAAGACGGAAAGGTGTCTCAAAGAGACATCATTTAATATAATGGGTGGCCTTGATGTGCAGGTAGGAAAGGGTACTAATTGTAATTCGATCAACGCTCTGGACCGCAGCTCTGATAGAAATAGAGGGATATTCAGGGAAGGGACAAACCTACCCAAACAGAATCTTGAACATCTAGGTAAGGGGGACAAGATTTACCACAGAGAAGTTCAGGAAAGTACTGGAGAACGTTTCCAATTCCTCCATAGAAGGGATTATATCTGATGCGGGGGAGTAAAGGTGGACAAGACAGGGATGGGTCTTGTTACTTCTGAAGAAGAAAGCATGGTCACAACACAAGCTTCCCAGAGGCAGGGGCCGGTGACTCACTGACTCAGTGTGACTCGGTGTCCCTAAAGTGCAGGCCAGCACCTCGCACCCCCACCCCAGATAAATGGCGAATGAACGGGTGGGGCTTCACATTGACCCTCCTCCGGCATTACGGGGAGCAGAAAATGAGTCAAAACTTGCAACCAAGGGCAGGCGGTGTAAAGAGACCACTGTGGGAGGCACACGCAGAGAAAACAACTGGTGGGTGGGCTCTGTAAAGAACCATTGTTGCAAGAGCCCAGTTTATGGACACCGAAGGGGCTTGGGGTGTGGGCTTTCAATAGGATGAATGAGTTAATCGCCCACCAGGACGAGTGACGGGTGGATGAGGGTTTTAAGGAAAAGGTGTCATGAGAGCCGATTAAAATGCTGGAGTTATATTCTGGAAGAAAGGATAATGAGATAATAAACTGGAAAACTAAACCAGATGAAGAGTTAGAAAAAGTCTGTGGCATATTTGGAGGTTGTCATGCTTCAATAGGATGTTGTTAATTAAGCAATTCATTGTATCTGTTTTACATTTTTATTAGCCACTGATTTTTTGAAAACCATTATCAAGCTGTGCTGAAGTCTTTAAACTTTTTTTTATAGCTTTCAAAGCATTAAACTGAATCTCATAAAACACTTGTATCCTAGGAAAGTAAAGGTAACAAAATTTTAAATGAACATTATTTTGCGGGGAGTTGGTAATGCTTAATTTTTTTGTAATTATCAGGAGTAACGTCATTAAGACGAAGGTTGTAGAGAAGCTAACCAGGGACAGTTTCTATTTACAACAGAAACGAGTTCCAGTGTGGATGGAAACTCACTGTTTGACATCAATCTTTACTTTAATCGGAATCACACACAGGCATTCTCACGTCAGTCACTGGCACTCGGGTTTTTAAAGATGTGCGGGTCATTCGGGAGTGGAGAGCACAACGTGAGTGACTGGGAACGCACGCGAAACCGAGATGGGACAGAGGGCACGTGAAGGCAAAGCCGGTGGCCGCCTGAGGCCCCCCGCCATCCCGGGCCCTGCTAGAGAGGCGGTCTGAATGCCCCGCGTCAGTGGACGGCTGAGGGCGGCTTTGCCCAGCTCTCCCAGGCCAGGTGCTCGCAACCGCCGGGCCCTGCTGACTCTGACCGCTGCACCCTCTCCCTGAACCCCCACCCCCACTCCTACCCTTCCTCAGCATCAGTGAGGCTCAGCTCAGACGTCACTTACTCCTTGAGGCCTGTGCTCAGGTGCCCCCTGAACTGTAATTGCTGCTTCCTGAGTCTGGGAGCTCTGTGAGAGCGGACTCCCTCTTTCCAAGTTGCTAAACGAACCCTCGGTGCATGTTAGCAGCTGGCACACAGTCAGCAAGCAATAAACACTGGGTGCTTGCTGAAAGAAGGGAGGGGCCGGACAGGTGTACCAGGAAGCCTTTCCCGGCAGATCACGCCGTGCACTCTGAGACCCTGTCGCACCCACGCTTACCTGCCAGAAGGAGATGTGGCTATCAGTGTTTGAGTAGGTGGCGAGATAGCGCCCATCAGGAGCGAAGGCCACGGCGGTGATCGGTCCCTTGTGTCCATGGATCGTCTGAAACACAATTCAGAGGCATGAATTGTGTGCATTCCACAGAACTAACACACCGAGCGTGCAGTTGCATTCAATTTTGAAAAGAAATCATGGATCTTAGATGCTGTTGTAGTCTTTATTTTATTTATAAAGCCAGATTAGAGAAATCAGAAAAGCAACTCAAGTTCTCTTGCTGGTCTATCTAAGGGTGTCAGTCTCGTTCTGAGGAGTCCGCCGGTCTCCAAGCAGGAGGGCAGCGTGAGTCCAGGGAAAGGCACGTAGTGATGGGAAAACCAATGTGTTAAGTCATCCCTGCCCATTAGAGGAAAGAATTTACCATTAATTAGGAAGGTAAGAAACCGATCACCATATCTACCCAGAGTCTCACCTCATCTATAGTGAAAAAATCACCAAAGCTGTATTGTGACCTCCCTGTTCTGGAAGGAGTTACAAACTATCATTTCCACCCCTTCATAATGATACATTTTTCATGCTTTATGCTTCATTTCCCAGCAATAACATTGTGTTCAACTGCATATGGCTGCAATTAGTAAACACACACATACGAAACACACATACACATGTGTTGCAGGCTTGACCACATATATAAATCAGACACTATTAAAAACAAGTTAACAGGGATCATTTTGAGCCTTTGCCAAATAGCTCTCATTGATTTAAACATGAATTTTTTTTAAAAGGACATTGTATTTTAGACTAGATATTTGATAAAAGGTTTTTACTAATAAAAATCATCCTAAAATTTAATATTAAGTTACCAAAAACACTGGGATACTAAGCAAATTAGCATACTGTATTAATACTGTATCAATGCCCCATACTCAGCTATTAGACCCGACCTCTGCTAAATTAACCAATATTTAGTCTGCTCCCGAGCTCTAGGCTGGTATCCCGGCTTTGCCCAGAAAGGAACAGAGAAACATGTTTCCTTAACTGAGACAGTGCCAGGCAGGTTTGTTTCCATTGGCTATTTTTTGCTAAAGAATTGTGAACCTTGAATCCAGGTGAAAGCATCAGGCTCGCCAATGTGATCCAGCCCCTGCTGTAAATTTCTGGAAGACTCTTCTCATAACTCAGTTCTGAGTGATTACAAGGAGTGGTGGGGGAGGGGGGTACAAGCAGGTTCCCCAGCACCCTTTGGATTCTGTTCTTTGCTCTCGCTAGGCTTTCAAGGATCTCATTGTGCGGTCCCAAATGATGCCTGCTTTCCAAGAGAGAAGACACCCCCCGCCCCCGGCATGGGCTCTGGGGCTGGTGAGAACTCTGCTCAGTCGGTCTGCCTGGCTGCCTGGGCCCCACAGCTTACGGACTGTGGGACCTCGGGCAAGGCATGCAAGTCACCTCACCACAGCGCACCTGTGTCTGTACAGTAGGAAGGATGATGATGGCGGTAGTGGTGATTCCTGCTTCAAAGGGCACTGTGACAGTCACACAAGTTACTGTATCTGCAGCACTCAGCCCAAAGCATGGCACAGAGTAAGGTTTCAATGAACACTATTAATACTTGTTACGCCTTCTTACTCACAGGTGACCAGACATATATACTTGAAAGTTGCTAAGAAAGTAGATTTCAAATGTTCTCACCACAAAAGGACGTGGTCAGTCTGCGAGGGGTTGGAGGTGTTAGCTAAATGCCAAGGTGGTGATCATTTTGCAACCTGTAAGTGTATCAAACCATCACCTGAAAAGTACAGTGTTACATCTCAATAAAACTAGAAAAAAATGACCAGGCAAATGTAAACAATCACATATCTGAATTACTTAAGTACACCATTTACTGAAAAACACACACCAAAAATAACCCCTAATCGTACACCCCAGAATCAGCATCCACTAAAATACCAGGTGGCCCCGGGGAACAGGTATGAGACTGTGGCATCTTATTAAACAGACGTGGGAACTGTCCGTGGTGCTGGCCCACAAATGCGATGCTAAATCAGGGCACAGGGTGAGCAGGTTGAACAATTATTGCAAGAAACCAACACCACCTACAACAGAATGAAAATTAGCTCAACACCATCTACATTAGAATGAAAACTGCTATAGGTGTGGGGGAAAATGTAACCAATTAAAAGGGGGAAAATGACCATTCCCACTAACTATGTCAGTTTAATGAGCTCACTGGGAAAACTCTGTCAAGCTTTAATTATTTTTTTAAAATCAAGATTCAGTTATGCTACAAATCTGAAATTCAACTGGGCCAATCTGAGGCTATTTTATGGTTAAGGCATTTGATTAGTAAGGCTTTGCTTTATAATTGCAAACTGAAGACCCATAAGCCGAAACTAATTACAGGTGCATTTGGTTTGGCTTGCAAAATGTTTTTAAAGAATGTGTTCTGAGACTGTATTCTAATTCATTAGGTATCAGGTAAAAGAGAGATTTCTAGACTTTCCCCAAACTGGAAGCTCCGGCCATCCTGGACCATAGTTCACACCGGTGGTGACATGAGTCGGAGCCGAGTGAAGGTGGCCCCGTCAGCCACTTCGCCAGTCCCAGCCCTGACCCAAGAGAGGGCCTGTGTACCTAACACTTGCTGCGTGGCTCCCCTATTTCCTGCCTGGTCCCTCCTGGCATTTAATGCAACCCTTCCACTAGAAGCACTTGATTCCAATGGTTTGTTCCATGCTCTGGGGTCCCAGTGTGCAACTGAAAGTGGGAGCAGATTGAAAGCTCCTCTGAGAAAAGTTGGCCCTTTTTGCAATCCCCTGAAGCCCAACTCTGTGTACAAGCAGAATGATCCTTCCTTTGGAGTTTGGGCTCCAAAATCTCAAAACAGGATGCTAAGCCTGCCTCCTTCACATCAGCATCTGTCCTTGATCAGCAACCAGAATGCACTTCAGACAGTAAGAGAACACAGCAGTGAGTGGGCTAGAAACCAGCAAGTCCAGAGGATGCACCAACCCGATGGCCACACTGAGGCACCACTCTGCAAGACCAGCTGGGTTAGTCCTGTCGTAAGGGTGGAAAACCAGACAGACACACAGGCTCCTTCAGAAAAGTATTCAGGGAATCCTTCCTATTATGCCTTCATCTCTTACAGAGAGCTGGTATGTAAAATATCAGTGTGAATACTTCTGTCTCAGTTGAAGATGCTCTTCATTAAATGTCTGATAGAAGATCCTATGAATTAAAGTTCATCTTGGAATTTTCTGCCAGGAAAACGTTTCCTTCCAGATCAATTTTGTTGCCTTCTTTTATCATGTGACAATAATTACGTAACCTAACATGTTCTCACTTTGCTGCCAGGAGACCCAGAATGAAATTCATGCTCATTCTACGTGTCTGCTGATAAACACTTCCTGCTCATTCCACTAATCATTGTCCTGTTTTCTGTTGTTGTGTTTGTGGTCCTGTGAGACACGGGGCTGAATTTGTTAGTTCCTTTGAAGTCCACTTCAGACAAAGAGAAACGGCATTTTAGATCACAACACACTGACGCATGCACGCGTGCACACGTGCCGCACCGTACTGCCAGGTGCCCCACAGGGCCCTTTTGAAGCCACACAGAGGGGCACTGCTGAGCACTGACTGCCGTGTCGGCTGCCATGCAGACCTGTTGTCTTATAAGAAAGCAAGGACCACTCAGGGAAGCTCAGGGAAGTGCGCCGTTGTGAATGATTTGGTGCATCTGGTGAGTTCATTACAATCTCTGCCTAAGAGGTGCTTCAGCCTTCAGTGTAATGGAAATGTTGCCTTTGTCTTTTGTTCAGAGTCTCTGAACTTGTAAGATCTGTGCAGGCACCACCTGAATGGACTTGAACCTCTATTCTGGCATTAGACATGCAGCTGCCTGGGGATCACAGTGAACTTGCAAGTGCTTTGTGGCGGGGTACCCCCGACCGGTGGGATCTTCAATGTCACAATGGAAAGAACACTTTCCAAAATAACAGGTTTCGAAACAAAAGGGGGTTTGGTCTAGTTTTTATATGCGACTGAGTATTGTGTTTTGTTACATTTTTAGTCCGAGAAAGTGCTCTCTTGAATAGACAAGAGATGGAATATAAAGAAATTAATCTAATTCAAGAAGTGCTATGAACAGTAAAAGAAAATCAAGCAATTAACCCTGGCAGGAGACAGAGTGTTGAACTGCTAAACACCCACTTCCCCTTTCTCCTGTTAAAGAAAAGAACCTGAGAGGCAGGGGTAACGATCAGCAATACTTGCGCCTGCCCTGCAGTTTTTAACGGGCACTCTCAGTGTGCTCTGCAGATGCCATGGGCCGCATCGTGTGGTGGAGAGAACACGGCTTTCGAAAGTGACCTGGTCAGCGTCAATAGAAGCTGTAACTGTCTCAAACGTTCTCTTTAAAATTGCTCCTGGTGGGGTCTGTCCCTTCCTGGAGCCCTTGTCCTTGTTTCCAAATGACACATTTGAGAACTAGACCCCAAGTGCATGACTCCATCACATCCGCTTTAAAAACTGGACAAGATTAAAGAGCATATTTTATATTTAGTTATAGGTCTTACCACTTTTTTAAAAGGGAAGAAAAAAATCCAACCGAACAAAAATTTTCCTACTTAAAAAAAGAACACATTTTATTTATTTATCTTTAGAGAGAGGGGAAGGGAGGGAGAGAAACATTGATGTGTTCTGGCTGGTGTAGCTCAGCGGATTGAGCATAGGCCTGTGAACCAAAGGGTTGCTGGTTCGATTCCTAGTCAGGGCACATGCCTGGGTTGCAGGCCAGGTCCCCAGTAGGGGATGTGTGAGACACAACTATACGTTGATGTTTATCTCCCTCTCTTTCTCCTTCCCTTCCCCTCTCTATAAAAATAAAAATAAATAAGCAATTAAAAAAGAAACATTGATATGATAGCGAAACATTGGTTGGTTGCTTCTTGCATGCCCCCAACCAGGGACCTGGCCCACAGCCCAGGTGTGTGCCCCGACTGGGAATCAAGCTGTCAACCTTTCGATTTGCAGGACAACGCCCAACCCACAGAGCCACACGGTCAGGTCCATTTTCCTACTTTTAACAAAAATTGTGAAAATTTCCAAAAGTAGGTAAAATCTTGCTGTCATAAATACCTCAACACAGGGAAAGACTTATAAAGACCTGTGTATTTTGTACAACATTTGCCAAAACAAAGTGAAAATGAAAGCCCACGGTTTGCAGGGGCTGAGAGGGAGGAAGGGCTGCCTTGGCTGTCGGCCTTCTGGGAGCGCACGGCTGCTCTGGGATATGACAGGCAGCTGCAGTTTGGTGAAGGAGGGGGAGGGGGTCGAAATGTCTGCTGAGTGGAAAATATGTCTCCAGTTGGCTGCACATGGTTCCCGGAAATTTCTTGTGTGTGTGTATATACATTTAGTGTTATTGTAACAAAGCAACTTGTACATTTTTAAAGTTTAAAACTGAGCATCATCTTTCCTTTCCAGTGAAACAAAAAGAAAATTTAAAAATAAGCAGGAACAAAATTACAATAGAGAAATGTCAATTCCGAATAAGATCCTACAAGGTTCTGCTGATTCTCCCATTGAGCGGCAGGGCTCAAGTCATCACGAGGAGAGAATTTTAGTTTCAAAGTGCCATCTTAAATCACAAGGATGTCCATTAAACATCACAATTAAACATGCCAAAGGAGAAGCCATGTTGTCAAAATGCCGCCTTAACCCACCTAAACACCTCAGATCCACCCTTTGCTGGCCTTCTATAAATCTCCCCCCTTTTTTAGTTTTTTTTCCTTTTATTCAAACAAGAGCAAGTAGACAGATATGTGTTGGTAAATGCTAAGGGTCCAATTCGCACAGAGACACAGAGGGAGGAGGAGAGAAGCTAGACCTCTGTGCACGACCACACCAGGGGCCCGGCACCCTACAGCTCCGAGCAGAGCTGCAGAAGCAGAAGGCTTTTCCTTTTTCCCACAGAGCCTGGTGGTGTTGATGCCACAAGTCTCTGTCAAGATAGGAAGGGATAAAAATGAATTTGGAACAGAAAGGGGCAGAGACTGTTTTCCCACTGTACACTGCTCAGGGTACATCCCCCCCCAAATCAGGTGAGAACCACGGTGTGAAGGAGAGAAAAGAGACCTCAAAATGGAGACTGAGCACGAGAGGGGAAAAAAGAGACGACACTTGCTCCCAGGGCCTGGAGAAAATGAACAAAGAAGGTTGGAATCCATGAGTGTTCCATTAGTCATCTTCTTCGCCCCCTCATCATCATCTTCATCTTCTTCTTCTTCCCCTTCTTTGCCATTTGTATCAGGGGCCAAGTAGTACTGTAATGGATTTGGCCGAGTGTCATCTTTGATGGCTTCTCCTACCTCATCGGCACCTGTGTCAGAAGGGCCAGTAAAGCAGGTGAAAAAGCTCGATGGCTCCTCACGCCGCCTCTTCCTGCTGCCTTCGTTTTGCATTTGACTTGAATGTTTCACCAAATCCTTTCCGGGTTTCCCTTTGATTTCAGTGGACTTTGAAGATGGATCGCCCCTCTCATTCAGATGAAATTCTTTGGAGAGAACTTTATTTTCGAAGTAAGGATTTTCATCAAAATAAAAATCTATTCTGTAACCTGACTTAATGTCTTCAAATTCTGTCACTTCGAGTCTTGCCATATAATGTAGTGTTTCTTAATCCTCTTCCCTGAGCAGTGCAGACACCTGTGGCTGGGTGACAAATGCTGTTACCCCCAAATCTGGAATATTGGTGATCAACTCTGACCTCTTCTGAAAAAAAAAATGGTTGGTGGAGTTTGTTGTATTTCTGTCCTACTTTCAAGACCACTTCACTGGCTTGTTTGTTAAGTCTGTCTACTTCATTTTGTACTTCATTGGTATGTTCAATGGCTTCTTGCTGTTCTTTTTCTTCCTTTGGGAAACCCAGAGAGAGGTGGGCTTCTTCTCTGGCTTGGGGGCAGGAGGAGGTCTTGGTTTCTCCGTTAGGGGTGGGAGCGAAGCCCGGCAGCCATGCTATGAGGAAAGTCGGAGAATCTGACCGCGGGAAAGCCGCACAGGTGGAAGAAGCTCGGCCTGAAATTTCTAAAACTACACTCGTGCCTGGGCGACGTGCTCTGGAGGGGGAGGACAGAGTGTGTCTTCCCGAGGCACGATCGTGGCAGAGCCTGAACGGCAGCATGTCTGTCTGGGTGCAGGGAAGGAAGGAGGCTGCAGACGGGCCAGAGTTCAGAGAAGCGAGTGCCTAGGAAGTGAGGGGGAGCCCTGGAAGGAAAAGCGGAGGTAGCCAGGAGACCTTCAAATGCCTCTAGCAGTGGTCCCTCTTCAGGGGAACAGACAACTCAGGTGAAGGGCAGGGGCCTCACCTCTGTACCTGCCGCCGCAGCCACCACACACTGGTGCCTCTTACTCTGCACCAAAGTGGGGGTGGGGGGCATTTTAAAAGAGTAGAAAAGTTAAGAATTAAATACTTTTGGGAAAAAACCCCTCCCCTTTCTTTTCTCTGAAGCAACCTATTTGTGACAATTTTTATTATATATTTAAGGTTCATTTGCTCAAAGAAACAAAGGATAGATTCAATAAATAATTTAGGCAGACGATAATGACACTGAAAAAAAGACAATTCACCTGTGGCTGATCAGGAGGCTCAGGTAAGAACAGAACTGTCCCTGCAAACTAAGCTGCAGCCTCTTTGTGCTTCGGCCCTTCAGGCCAATGATGTTGCCAAGAATGCGGGAAGGTCGCCCACTCTTTGCCGGTTGTGGGCCGGGTGGCTGTAAAGCAGGCTGGACAGATGAACATCTCTCTCCTTTTAAAAAGCAGCTCTCTCCAGAGAAGATTCTGCAACCTCCCCCAAGGACCCTTTCCTGTTTCAACAATGCATGCTGCCAGGAAATTTTTCCTTCTATCCAATGGAAACCCCCATGGCTAGAGAGGGAGCCTGCTTCCTCCTGTGCTGAGCGCAGGGGGTGGAGAATGGGCCACTGATCGAAGCAGGACCCTTGTGCAGACTTGAGTGCTTGTTGTAGCAACTTGGACCGTTTTTACTTTTTATTTTCAGGGTTAAATAAAAAACTCAGAGACTAAAAAGCTGGAAAATGAGACCTAAAAGGAAAACGAAACCTGTCCTTTTAGGTCTCATTTTCCAACTTTTTCAATCATTTCTGTGGCTTTTCCTTAAACTCTCCAAGCTTTCGAATCGTGCCATCTCAGAGTTGTTGGTACCTTAAAGGCCTCCTCAAGTCAACCACGTCTCATTGTGCAATTTCTATGAGGTGAGATTTCCTGAGTCCGGCTACAGGCAACTGGATGTTGTTGCAGTTTCTTGCACACCACGCAGAAAGGCCAGCATTATGCTTATTTTATCAGAAAACTGCAACATGACCGACAGTCCTGCTGGAAGATAATTTACGAGAAGTCCTCGGGAAGGAAAAGCTGGGTGAGGTGGCACACAGGTGGCCAGCACCCAGCAGGCCGCGTCCCCTGGGAGAGGAGGGAAAACTTTTCCTCGACCCAACTGCAACTGTGTCAACCCCTTCACACAGCGGTTTAAAGATCAGAAGCTGCCCTGCTCTTCTTCGTCAGCTGGGAGATGAAGATGGCCCATCCCTCTCATCAGCACTATTTGTCTGTCTGTCTGTCTGTCTCTCTCCCCTGGGCCCTGGGTCCTGAAGGTTTTCGCTCTCCCATTAGCTCACCTGTGCCCCCAAGAGGCAATACAACACCTACCTACAGGCACCGTAAGTAAGTTCTTGAGGAAAGGACAGTGTAAAATTAGGGCCTGGCTCTTTCTCACTTGGGACACAGCAAGCAGAGACTGAAAGTACCAACCAAAATGAAAGCAGGTGGTAAATGTCCCCCTAAAACTCTTACAGACAGAAGAGAGCCTGGCTCTTCTCATTGGCTGGGCTGACCCACCGGCTGAGCACAGAAGCCTGCACGCTGCCCTCTGGAGATGCTACAACAACTGAGAACAGAGACTGGAGGGTTGAAGATGCTGGTTTAGCTCTGCAGTTTCTTTTCCTGATGGGGGGCCAGCGTGATGGCTTTTATTCACATTATGCCAACTGCATGTTACAGAGTCAACCCGTGGTGGCATTTTTCAACCCAAGGGGCATTGGAACTATTCGATAAATTGAGTTATTTTCTGTCACTATCTAGTTGAAAAGAATACACATTTGGGGTGAAAAACAAGTAGATTTGGTATCATTTAAACACCTTAATAGAAAATAGATTTAAGGATAAATATAACCAAGTGAGCTATCTTAAGTTTTATTATAATATATAAGTCCTCAAGTAAAAAGACTGTATTTCTTAAAAATAGCTGCAGTATTTACTCTATTTTCAGTTACTGAAAGTTACTAAAATATCAGTTGAAGATAAACTGACAGTGACGAATGGAAAGAGCTTTTCGACATGTACATGTTGGCAATTCTTAGGAACCGGCAGCAGTTGAAAGTTTTGGTGGGGGTCATGCGCCACCGGCCCGGGCACACACACAGCACCCAGTCCAGGCGGCGTCGGATTCAACACAAGCGCTCGGAGACACCTTCACTGCCGCAATCCAGGCATCAGTGATCACGTCAGATCTTTATCATACCGAGGCTTTATTCTAACTAATACCAACTACAAATGACTAAAATTAGTTTTAAAAAGACCGACGAATGAACAGGTAGAGACTGAACACGTAAGGCAACAGCTGTTTCCCCGTGTTCAGCTGTTACTTCACTGTTACAGTCACTGGTCTTAGAGACGTCCCTCTACGCACCTAATGAGCCTTTTCAGAGGCAAAGGATACATTTCCTGTAAGTCTCACTATTCATGTCTAAGTCCTTTCTTTGCATGTTAAACTGATCAATTTTATTGAATTATACTTTGAAAATTATGTTTGCCCAAAATCCCAAACACTGCAAACTTCCAATTATTTAAAGACATGATTATCAACAATTTTTGGCCAATGAAATTACAACAGTATATTATTATTGTGAGGGTCCTAAGCTCAATAATGACAACATAAGAAAAAAACATTAGCTAAAGAGATAATTCAAATCATAACACTTTCATAAATTCAACATTTAAGAATAATGAATCATTAAACATGTGACTAAAGTATGGGTGGTCTAACACTGAACGCCAATGTGACTTAGGTAAATGTGATTCAGTTTAAATGAAAGGATAGAGAGTAAATTGTTATGAAATATTCATACTGCTGTATGAAATAACTGTAAAACATTTATTACATTATAACTCACATATGCTTAAAAAGTTACAATGTTTCATTCAGATTTAAGCAGACCCAAAGCTAAATGTTGTTTCATTGGCATTTCTAACATAAATCTATTCAAATCCACGCTACAGTCTTAAAGTGAACACATTTTTTGCTTTTGTATTCTCAGACTATGAAAATTGTATTATAAATATTCAAAGGATTCTTAAGACTTGGACTAACATAAAATGGTTATGTGATTTTTCAAAGAAGACAAGAGATACAAAATTGTCTTATCTAAATTATACTAAAGCTACAGAGTTTGCATTTTTCAAAATCAGATTTCAAAAGGATTTAACACTTTCACCAACCCCAAAAGAGGAATGACTTGAAACTGTTAAAGGCAACTAAGGAATTGCACAAAATTTTAACACTCATACATATATTAACCAGTATGTAACCATACCTTTTGGTTCATATATATTTGGGATAATGAAGCACAGATACACTAATACATAATACAGATTCTGGAACTTTACACTTTTATGGCTCCTTAACTTATTAAAACAGAAAATCAGATTAGTCTGAAACATAACCTAATTAATGCTGTTCTATATTACAAGATTCATTTCGTAAGTCAGGAAATGCCAAGTCATAAAAATATAAAACTTCCTTCCTTAGATATAATATTCAAAATGTTTCTTTATATTTAATGTAGCATAAAGCAATGCATTAACACAGCAATTTTTCTCATGTTGCAATTGCATTTGCAAATATTCTAGAACAATTACTGTGGCAAAATAACACTAATACTACTTGTCAGTCCTCTGACTCATTCTTAGAATATCCCATGTTTCTCTAGAGGATCAAAATTTGTCCTTGGCAGTTGTATGAAAGGGCAAAACTTTCTGAAACACAATTTGCTTGTTTGTGAAATAAGGAGGCTATCTGTCTTGCCTACTTCATGCGATTACAAGTTTTAGCACAAATGTACTTATGTTTTTTGAGAGTTTATCATGTTCCAGGCCCTGTGGTAGATGTTGGAGTCCAAAGATAAGAGGGGGCCCCTGCCAGCGCATCCAGGAGGGGAGACGCAGGTTGACAGCAAGCACCTACTAACTACTGTGCAGTGCAATAAATGGCATGAAGAAAACGTGCAAATGCAGATGAAGGAGCAGCAATTTCTGTACAGGGGCAGGAGCAGTCAGGACAAGGCCCAGAGAGAAGATGGTATTTGAGCTGAGCTTGGCAGGAAGAGCAGAAGTTGGCCAGAGGACAAGACGTGAAAGGCCCAGTTCTAAACAGACGGATGAGTGTAAGCAAACACACGAGAGTGAAGGCTTGAGAGAGTTCCAGGAAAACAGCATTCCTGTCGCTCCACCAATGGGTGAGCAGGGGCAGGGGGATCCAGGCAGGGCCAGGGTTCGGAGGAGAGGCCACACGGTTGTTATAGCCAGGTTTCTGTTGTGCCCAGAAATTTGGACAGAGTTCATTGTCCATCGGGAATCTTTTTAAGTTTTCAAATCAGAGAACGGTCAGATAAGACTTGTTTTAAAATTCTGGCAGAGGAAGGAGGGGAGAGGAACTAAAAAAAAGAAAAAACGGACTGGTTGGAAGGTGAGCGTAGCAGAAAAATGAGGAACTGAACGAGGAGCTGGACATGGCCAGGAAAGAGAGCAAATTAGCCGGTGGCAATGCTGCCACGGGGGAAGGGAAGGCGTGAGAGAAAGCAAATAAAGGGAGACAAGGGGCACGTGGGAATTCATTTGGGGAAATAATGGTCTTAACTGGCGACAAGTAGGTATTAAGGTGGAGGACGTGAACAGGTAATCAGAAATAGAGGGTGAGGCAAAAGTAGGTTTACAGTTGTTTGTATGGCAAATAATACAATGATTGATAAATAATATAGTAACATAGGAATAAACTGTGTTTCCAGTACTCACAACTGCCAACCGACTTTTTGCCCCATGCAGCAGGTCAGGAAATGAGAGAGAACAGTCTGGGTCAGGAAAAGGGTGATGGAAGGAGAGAGATCCGGGAGCTGGTTGCACACGCAGACGCTGGAGGATCCTGCCCTCGGCGCTGTGCCTGGTGCCCGGGGGTCTCTTTCTGGGTATCTGTCAGTGACTGAGCGCTTGAGACAGCCCACAAAGAATGAGACAGAGTG